GGCTTTTTTCTTTTTGCTTAAGTGGTGCTGAGGAATCGAACCCAGGGCCTCAGGCATGCAAGGCAAGCGCTCTACCACTGAGCCACCTTCCCAGCCCCTGGAAACAATTTTGTATTATTTGAAGTCTGATCTCTACCTGGCCAGGCCAACAATGCCTTCCATTGCCAGATGGAGACAGGGGGCTCTAGTCTACTGAACTGTGTATGTGTCTATGTATGTATGTATGCCAGTACTAGGGTTTGAACTCAGGACCTGGGTGCTATCCCTGAGCTTTAGTGCTTTTTTTTGGTAATTAGTTGGATATAAGAGTCCTACCCAGGCTGGCTTTGAACCATAACCCTCAGATCTTAGCCTCTTGCCAGGTGCTGGTAGCTCACTCCTGTAATCCTAGCTACTCAAGAGGTTGAGATCTGAGGATCAAGGTTCAAAGCTTCTCCGGGCAGGAAAGTCTGTGAGACTCTTATCTCCAATTAATCACCAGAAAAACCAGAAATGGAGCTGTGGCTCAAAGTTATAGAGGTAGCCTTGAGCAAAAGAGTAGTTCAGGGACAGTGCCCAGGCCCTGAGTTCAAGCCTTACTGACACCCAGCATTGAGCTAATAAACTTCTAAACTAAGCCTACCAATTTAATGGGGGTTGAACAGGGTCCTGTACTAAAATGTATCAGATCTGAGCTCCCATTTCTTGTATTCTGCAAATGGCAGAATACAGAACCCTGGCATGCCTGCTAGTCCCTTCCCTCCACAAGGGGGAAAGCAGTGAGCAGTTACTAAATACTTGCACCAAATACTACACAAAGATCTGCCCTTTGTGGGTACAGGAGGTACTGCGTGTCCTGTGCTTACCAGAGTGCCTAGAGTACCTCCCGTGTGAGCCAGTAGAATTCTTTGTCATGGCTATCTTTCTCTCTCCAGGTGAGTGTGCCCGAGTGTGTGGCTGCAATGAGACCCGAATGCTGGAGAGGCTGCCCGTGTGTGGGAAGGCCTTTGCTGACATGATGCACAAGGTGGACGTCTGGAAGTGGTGCAACCTGTCTGAATTCATTGTGTGAGTGTTCTTCTGGGCCCTGTGAGCTGACCTCAGTAATGCCACACTGCAGATGGCCTATCCCAGACACCATCTTGGCTCAGGGCCCCTCCCACAGCTCTGCTCATGGCCCCGCCCACACCATCTGCAGCCCACCTATCTCTCTGCAGCTCTGCCCAGGCAGCATCATGGATCCATCCAAGGGTCTCTGGCTCAGCAACACTTGAGACTTGGGTACAGTCAGGGGCGGTGGGTCTGGCCACAGTGGGAGGCTTGTGGTCACAATATGTGGTTCTGGTCATACATGGATTTAAAAGTGTTAGATGGCTCTCAGATCAACAGGCCAGGCAAGGATTGGTGGGCGTCAGAGCCAAGGGCTCTGCTGGAGGAGCAGGTAGGGGAAGGGGGGTTTGCCCATGGACCTAGCTGTTGAGCTGACCCCAAAGCCTGAGTGTATCGAGGGCTGCATCAGGGATGAGGTGTGTGACAGTTTGCAGGATGGACAAGGGTTCCAGCCTGGGAGGGTGCAGGTGTGTGACTTGTGTTTTGGCATCATGCAGGTTGATCCGGGATGCATTAGGAGCCTGGCTGGGTGTCTGACCCTGCCCAGGAACAGTCAGCATAGGAAAGTCCAGTAGATTATCCCCTCCCATTTCCCGTCCTTACTTGAATCCCGGATTGAGATGAAGTTCTGTTCAGGATGCTTCTTAGGGAAAGACTGTCTTCCTGTAGATGAGTTGGATATGCCTCTCTTGCAGGATTTAGCACAGGAAGCAGGAGGTGGATCCCTGCCTGACCTCACAAGGAAGGAGATCCTTTTAGTGTCTGTCTTGCATCTGTACCACAGGCATGGGAAAGGCCTGCTCTGTGTGGAGCTGCTGAGCCATGTTAGGTGTCACCTGTCTTCCTCTAGAATATCTTAGAGGGGTGGCTTTGGACCTCAGCCTCACAGACCACAGGGAGGTCACTGCCTTCAGAAGCTGCTTCTCAGGTCCTGGGCCTGGTAGCTAGTGGGAAATCATCATATACATCAGGCTGAACTCTGGGTCCTGGTAGCTGTAGTCCTTGACTAGCTTCAAGGACCATCCATTGCCTACTTCTGGGACAGAAAAGGCTCATCACAGGTGGAATGTTGAGAGCATTTCTCATGTTTGATCATACAAAAAGTCCCCCATGTATTCCATCAGATGGGGCAGAGAAAGACAAACTTCCCAGAGGGAGTCAGAGGTGGTGCCAGCCATATTAGCCTGGCCCAAGAGCATAGTTCAAGTCTTGATGGAGAGGAAGCTGCTCTGTACTCAGACAGACCCTCCTCACAGATCCTTAGGGAGTCTCTGGAGGAAGAGTTCCTAGCAGGTTCCTATTGCTGGTGCTTGGGCTGTAGAGAAGTGGGGCTAGGCATGACTTCTTGGCAGACCTGGGTAGTACTGCTGGGGTTGGTGACAGAGCCAAGAGGTGGGCCTTGGGAGCTCACAGCTTCAAAGAATCAGATCAGAGTCACAGATGTAGTCTGGGAACCCAGAGAGAAGGTCATATACAGTTACAGATTTCTCAGATGGCAGGAAGTGTGAAAGCAACACGCAAGGCTATGTGTCTGGTAGGTGGTTGAGTGGGACTGGGCGTAGGCAACTCTTTGTCCTCCTGATCTGCCTGGGATTAGGGAAGGTGTGAGGGGGTCTGGGGAGAGTCATGGTCTTGCCTTCTGCCTCTGCAGGTACTATGAGAGCTTCACCAATTGCACCGAAGTAGAGACCAACATCGTGGGTTGCTACTGGCCCAACCCACTGGCTCAGGGCTTCATTACCGGGATCCACCGGCAGTTCTTTGCCAATTGCACCGTGGACAGGCCGCACTGGGAGGATCCTCCAGATGAAGTGCTCATCCCACTGATAGCAGTGCCTGTCTTGCTTACCGTGGCTATGGCTGGCCTGGTGGTGTGGCGCAGCAAACGCACTGACCAGCTGCTGTAAGGGTCTGTCTGATGGAAGGCCAGGCCTGGAAAGCTGGAAGAATGTTTCCCGGGGCTATGAGAACTGGTGGATGCTGCCACTGTCCGGCCTGCTTCAGGCACCTTCCATCTGGTCATGGCACACTCTCCCTGCCCAGGTTGATTTGATTCCTGCCCCCTTGGCTGGAACTCAGTCTGCATACCCAAGCTTTTGCCCTTCCTTGGGCCAGTGGGAGACATGAACAAAGCTGTAGCTTTGGAAACCATCATTGAACTATCACTCCCCCAGGCTGGACCTCTTCTTCTCCAGCTATTTCTTCGTCCTGTCCAGGCTTTGACCTATCTCTAGCTGTAACCCTGACTCTAGCTCCTGCCTCACGCTGGCTCTTGCCACATCTGGGCGAGAGGGCAGGTGAGGTCATTTAGAAGTTACGTGCGGTAGAACCCTAAGCCTTTTATGGTGGGGAGGCCAGATGTACCCATTGTGGGAAAAGCTGGGGGATAAGGGACAGACTTTGGAGCTACAAGAGTCACATGTGACTTAGAGACTGGTCTGTCTGCTTTGTCAGGATTCTGCAACTGATATGGGCTGGCGGGAGGTGGGTCGGCTCCTCCCAGGGACAGGCTCTGCAGGGTTCTTGAGGACCTGCTTCCTCGGGAAGCTCCCTGGGGACCAGGCATCTGGTGATCAGTGATTTGTCTGTCTTTCTTTCCTCTGAGTAAAGACTCTCCCTGTAGTCTTATATTTGCTTCATTTCAAGGTATCCTGAGAGTTAATGCAGGCTCTCAGGACCGTGTAGGCTCTTATACCCAGTTGACAGACTGAGAGCCTCTGAAGCCATCAGATCCAAAATGTTGGGGCCCAGGGGTTCAGACTTTCAGCCTAGGGGACGAGGGTCACACAGGAGAGATGCTTGCTGACCACCTGCAGGTCCTTTGCTTTCCTGTTTCCTCTCCAGTCTGCTTTGGGCTTGGCAGGGCCCTGACTGTAGGGATTTGGGGCAGATGTTGGCCCTGTGCAGCTGAACCACAGGGTGTGGTGCATCATCTCCAGGCCTTGTGCGTGCTTTGGCTGCAAGGACCCACAAGAATGCTGACTCCAGCATCCTCAGGCTTGAGGGGAGGTTGGATGACCCCAAAGTTCTCACACCTTGGAAACTTTCTCTTAGCTATTCGTGGCCAGGCAGGAGGTCCTGGATTTAGGGGTCTCCTGGTGGGTGCCACAGGACTGAAGGTTTGGGTGGCCAGCTGAGCCTGTGCCCTGGGGGGGTGATATGAGGGCAGAATCCAAGGCTACCTGATAATTCTCAAAGAAGACCAGGGCTTGGGAGGTCATGATCTGAATGTGAACCAGCTGGGTAACTCCCGGCATCTCCTGCCACTAGAGCCTTAGTTGGTCGCCCCTGAGATGGGCAGTGTTTTCTGGATCACCTGGCCTTGTGGTGGGGATCTGAGAGGTCAGAAGCCTTTAGGATCAGACTGCTCCACACAGAGCCAAACGTTGGAATTGGTATCTTGTCCTGAGATTTGTGTGTGTGTGTGTGTGTGTGTGTGTGTGCGTGTGCGTGTGCGTGTGCGTGTGTGCCCACATGTGTGCAGTTGGTGTGGGCACAGTCTATCCCTTTGGTTTGCCTTCTCCTCATTGCAGCATCCCTGGAATACAGTTTGGCTAGGCTTTTCTTCTTGTGGGGGCTGGGGGAGGGGCTGCAGTCACCTTCTGGGTTCCACAGAGCAGCTCCTCATAGCTTCCTAGGGGAGTGTGAGCCTGGACTCACTTTACCCAGCTTTTCCCCAGACTCCCAGGGACTGCCTTTTGATCTGCCTGCTTCTCTTCCCCTGCCAGCAGCAAAACTCCCTCAGAAAGAGGCCAGAGTCCCTGTCCAAGCTCAGAGGAAGCTCCTGTGGGAGTCTGCAGGGAAAGAAGAGGGGCAATAAGCAGAAGCTGGTGCCATCTTCAGGCAGAGAAGTCTGAGGGCAGGGTCTTCTGGGCAGTGGTGCCCTGGGGTAGGCCTGGGACTGCTGCCTCATGGGGGCAAAGCATGGCTGGACATGACGGGGCTGGACTTGGGGGGCAATCTCAGTATTGTCTTTTTTGTCTTTTCAGTCTTGGAGTTTTCTTGTCTTAAAAAAATCTCTTGTTGTGGTTTGTGTTTTCTTTAGCCAGAGTGCCCTACCCCGTGGAGAGCTGTGGAGAGCACAGAGGCATGAGGTCTAGTCCCTGACCCAAGAACCCCTTCACTTGTTAGGGCGCCAGAGATGCAGAACACAGTGAGAGGGAGAGGCGGGGCCTTGCCTAAGGACTTCCAGAAAGTTTCAAAGAGGAGATTTTTAAAGTGGGGTCTCTAAGGGTGATAGGAGTTGTTCAGTGCAGATGAACACAGTGAGCAAAAGCCCAGAAGAAAATGTACAAGGTGTGGTATGGGAGGAGCTTGGGCAGTGTGGACAGGAGTGTGGGCAGGGAGGGATTTGAGGAGGGGGGCAGGGTGTCTTGGGGATGACATCTCTGCAAATGCATATTATGTAAGTCACCAATGGTGGGCCTCTTCTGTGAGCTTATGGGTAGGTGTTTCTTTGTGTGTGTGTGTGTGTGTGTGTGTGTGTGTGTGTGTGTGCGCGCGCTAGTCTTGGGGCTTGAATTCAGGGCCTTGTGCTTTTGCTTGGATATTTTGACCAAGGCTGGTGCTCCACTACTTGAGCTACACGACCACTTATGGCTTTTTCCTGGTTAATTGGAGGTAAGAGTCATGTGGATTTGTCTGCCCTGGCAGGCTTCAAGTCTTGGTTCTCAGATCTCAACCTTCTGAGTAGCAAGGATTACAGGTGTGAGCCACTGGTGCCCAGCCAGAGAAGCCTGTTCTTCTAGCTCCAATTGGATTCCAGAACCTCTGTGCTGGCACTGTGCAGGTTCTGGGGGGTGGTCAGAGAGGCCAGCCCTTGTTTCATCCATACTCCAACCCATCATGGAACACAGCAGCTTCTGGTCTGTGCAGGGCCTTTGGAGAGGTGACTGTGGGCTGGAGTGTCCATGAGAGGGGAGCCTTCCCTGTGGCCACCAGCCTGGGAGAACAAAGCAGCTGTCCCAGTTGACAGCCCTCATCCTCAGCCTGGATGAACCCTGTTGCTTGAGGTCACTGTGGTGGCAGCCTCCAGTTTCCTCATCTGGAGGCTGACCAGGGAGGTGCTTGTGAAGGAGCCTGGGACCTTTGTTCTCCAGAGTGCCCTGCATGCAGTCTTTATCCAAGATGGTGGCTTGTCAGGGAGGACTGCCAGGACAGGCCTTCTCATCAAGTCCTGGCAGGTGCTGGTGGCATCTGGAGTCATTGTGGGGCATAGCAGGGCATGAGTGTGGGTGGTGGTGGTGGGGCAGGGAACAAGTGTCTGTGCAGTGGATTGGAATGTGGACCCAGACTCCCACCAGAAGCATTGCTGTGTGGAACTGAGGAGGAAATCACCAGCTCCCTCTGAAGTCCCAGAGGCTCTGATCGGGCTTTGAACCCACACTAAAGCTGAGTTGGAGCTGTGGTTTCTGATGCGGTCCCAGGTGACATTGGTATCCTTGCTCATGATGGGAAATACTGATGGATAAAATAAATTTTAACTTTTAAACGGATGGAATTCTTTGCAACTTGTCTGCAAAACCCAGCTGGTGACAGGGTTTTAAGAGACCCTGATGCTGGTGGCTCACGCCTGTAATCTACTACTCAGGAGGCTGAGATCTGAGGATCATGGTTCAAAGTCAGTCTGGTCAGGAAAGTCCGTGAGACTCTTATCTCCAGTAAACCATCAGGAAGTGGAGCTGTGGCTCAAGTGGTAGAGCGCTTGCCTTGAGGTGAAGAGCTGAGGGACAGCGCCCAGGCCCAAAGTTCAAGCCCCATGACTGAAAAAAAAAAAAAGACCCTGAGATTGCTTCTGGTATATGGGGAAATAAAACTGTAGACCTATAAAACAATGTAGAGGACTTAATTCTTAAATGGATGTAACAAACATTGTGGACCAACCTGCTGTAACTTGTGTAAACCATAGAGCTAAATAAATAAGTGAATGCATTAAACCATTGAAAGTCTTTGGAAATCATCCTCAATGAAGCATTTATTTTAGGGAATAGAATAAATCTGCATAAGGACAGTCTAAAGCAGTTGAACCTTGGCTGTTGGCTGCATGAAGCCACTCCTGGAAGTCAAGGAGTCTCCTCCCCCATTTCCTAATAGCGTACCTATCATCAATGGACGAGCTGTTTCCCCTTTTGTGTCCCTTCTCAAGAAGTGGGCCCATCTTTCACTGGTCTCTCATGTGGAACCTGAGAATCATATGTCACTCCTTCTCCCACGTCCCACAGCCACGCAGGCCTCAAAGTCAACTCTTCCCAGAGCCCTAGCCCTTCATTTGTTTCTTCCGCTACTGGGACAGTTTAGATCACTGTAGTCTCTTGCCTGGATTATTCCCAGTGCTGCTAAACTTAGTCCCCAATCCTATGATGCAGTGGCCAAAGTCCCCACAGGACTGGGGTGTCAGGAGGGAGATGCCCTGTCCCTGCCTGATAAGAGCCAGGCACTTAATGCCTGCCCATGATGCTAGACCATGACTACATGAAGAGCTGTGGCCCCATGAAGGCCCAAAGAAAGTTCCAGAAAAGAGTGAGAGCTGAGGCATATCAGGCATGAGCTGGAGAATTGGTGGGGGGGAGGGCTCAGAAAAGTGGGGTAATGGCTGCTCAGGACACTTACACAAGTCAGTGGGAAATTGGAAACATTGTGCCCAGGGCACAGATTGCATAAAGGGGGCTCATGGGGGCAGAGGCAGAGGATCTGGAGGCATCTCACAAGGAAGAACAGCTCTATCTTACCCATGGGCAGCAGGGCAAGAGGACAGGGGTTGGGGACACTCTATAGCAGGTTCTTCTTGGGGCCTGCAGGAGCCACTGATAGGGAAAGAGGGAGCTGACTAGGGAGACAGGGTCTCTTCTTAGCAGACCCCCAAACCTGTGGTTATCCACCTCTGCTACACAGACAGCTCTGATTTCTTCTGTCCATACTCAGGGGGGTACTGAGGTGCCTCCAGCTGTGCCAGTCTCTTTCCTGGCTAGATTATTTTTTTGTCAGTTGTGGGGCTTGAACTCTGGGCCTAGGTTTTTTCCTTGAGCCTTCAGCTCAAGGTGAGTGCTCTACCACTTGAGCCACAGCGCCACTTTCAGTTTTCTGGTGGTTTGTTGGAAATAAGAGTCTCACAGACTTTCTTGCCTGGCTGGCTTTGAACTGTGATCCTCAGATCTCAACCTCCTGAGTAGCTAGGATTACAGGCATGAGCCACTAGGGCCAGGCTTTGCCCAGAATTCTTATTCTTATTCCTCCTCCTCCACCTCCTCCTTGAATTCAGGGCCTGGGCACTGTCCCTGAGCTGCTTTTACTCAAGGCTAGCAATCTACCACTTGAGCCACAGTGCCACTTCTGGCTTTTTCTGTTTATGTGGTACTGAGACATCGAATCCAGGGTGTGCTAGGCAAGTACTCTACCACTAAGCCACATCTCTATCCTTTGTCCAGAATTCTTACTGGCTGCCTTATCTGAATGCTTTTCCACAAACAATGCTCATGGACAGAGGTGACCACTGGAGCTGTAGAGCTCTGGGTGGCAGGAACATGGAGAGGTGGCAGGGATAGTCAGGCATGTCCACACTCAGGTTTTTTCATTTTGCTATTCTCTGCCTTTGGTTAAGACAGAACTTGGGATTTAGAATCAAGGATGGGAAGTGAGTTGTGCTTTGTTTCCACCCTACTGGAGGTAATGGTTTTGTCTTGAATACTTATATAATTTGTACATCATGTTTGGTGCTGGCAACCCTAGGCTGACTAGAACCTTCTTTTGGGTCCTTCAATCAGTGAAATAAGTCCCCCCATCTGTCCCTCTCTCTCACATCTGTCTATCTAAGCATCTATCTACCATTATCTATCATCTATGTATGTATGTATCTATTTGTCAATCTTTCTATCATGTCATTATCTCTCTCTATATCTATCCTCCATCATCATCATCATCATCATCATCATCATCACCATCATCATCATCATTATCTATCTTGCTAAAGTTTAAAGCCAGGTCTTGAGTAAGCCTGGTGAGTGTTCTATCATACTCCTCAGGATATTTCTGCTGAAATCTACCGAGCCCATCTGTCTAACCAGAGGCCCAGCTAAGAGCTTTACATGCATTTGTAAACTTACTGGCATTCAAGCTTCTTCCACCCAGGACTGCGTTGGATTCCTGTGCTCCTACGCACTCATCTCTAACTTACCCTCCACCTCTGCCCAGAAACTCCTCCTTGGATTTGCCTCCAATCAAATACTAGTGAATGTTGAATGGCCCCCACTGTAGAGAAAGCTGTATTTTCAGTGGGAGCATCAATGCTCCATGTTTTCTTTCCAAGTGCTTCATCCTAGCAGGCTGTGAAAGGGCCTGTGTTCCACAGCGGCACTGATTTCTGGTGGGGTACAATCACAACAGGACTCAACAGTGCAGTGTCATTGCTGCAGTGTGCTTGTGCGCCATGCGCACAGTACAGCGCATTCATAGAAGCTGCTTTGTCATGGGCATTTGCTCTGCAAATGGAGCACTACTGTAATTTTATAATTGGAGCATTGAGTTCCCAGTCAATAGACCAACACCAAATAAATGTTAGGTATCAAAAGGTTTCCAAAGAGAAGATGTTCTTTTAGTTACCTGTCTCTAATCAAACAGTGTCTGGAATGGCATCTCTGTTCTCAAGGATTCCCTTTTGGACACTTGGTGATGAGAATTGGGGTCCACAGACGGTGAAGAGGAGAGGGCTGGATTTAGGTTCTATTCTGGTCCTTAAGCCCCAGAGGAAGTGGTGTTCCAGCCAGGCTTTAGATGATGAATGAGATTTGAATATATAGAGAACCAACTGCATGGAACATTGATGTTTCAAAAGATGCAAAGCTGAATTGTCCTAGCTATAAAGAGAAATCAACTAGTTTAGAATCATTGTGGATGATTTGAGCAAATCTTTCCCAAAAATCAAGAGATCAACTTTATACTTTCCTAAAAGCAGGGATGTACAGATTAACAAGCATGAATAACAGTTAAAACAGTATAAACTATCTATCTATCTATCTATCTATCTATCTATCTATCTATCTATCTATCTATCTATCATCTATCCATCCATCCATCCATCCTCCATCACTGTGACAAATTTTCTGAGATAATCAATTGACAAAGAGGAAAGGTTTGGTTGACTCACATTGTCAGCCACAGTTATTTTTTTTCCTATACCAGCATAGTACAATATTGTCGGATGGGGGCCTAGAAGCAGAGGGGGGGATGGATGGGGGGAGAGAGAGGCAGGGCAGGGCTGTAATACCTCCTTCAAGGGCATGACCCAATGGTATAACTTCCTTCTACTGGGTCCCAACTCCTAAAGAGTCCAGCACCTCTCTATAGTGTCAAAGGTCAGGGTAGAAGACTCTATCTAACACATGGGCTTTAACACTTCAGATACCATCTATCTATGTATCTATATATCTTTCTGCCTACTTACCTTTCCTGTAGAGAAATATTTATACTTTTTGAATACCTGTGAGGAATTGATAAAAACTAAAAGACTACCTTCTTGGACTAGAAGGTAAATGAAATTT